AGGACCAGGAGCACTCGTCGTCGTTTTTCAGCATCCCAAGCTCTCCATCTAGCCGGAGAGGTGCTGGCGGTGGGGATAGGACTGAAACCAGCGCTGTTGTATGATTGTGGGGCAGAGGGTACCAAAGAGATGCTGCGGTACCTGCGCGGGTTAAGGGATGCTGGGTTATCCTCTCGGCGCCTCCACGTGTTGGGTATAGAGGGTTCTGTGCTGCTTCTGAACCCGGAGCTGGCTCGGAAAAGGTTGGAAGATGTGATCTGTGCAGACTCTGTGTTGCCTTTTGTGGATGTCTCAGCCAGGAAGAGATGCCCAACTCTCTGCGGGAGAGCTCAAGGTGAGGTTAGCAAGAGTCATCTCACCTCCCTCCTGGCCCATCTAGAGGCTGCTGAGACCACCAGTGCTGACCCAGTGTCCTCCAGTGAGGTTGTCCTGACAGGCTGGAACCTCTGTACAATATTTGGGGTGCTGCTGGGGTACCCTGTGGTGTACACCTTCTGCACAGAGGAGAGTGCTGAGAACTGCCTGGCACTGACCCCACTGAGGGTGTTCACAGTCCAGGCCTCCTGCCCCAGGATAAAGGATGGTCTCAGAATCCAGATCTACTCCTTCAGCATCCCAGAGAGCCTCTGTGCACAGCTGGCAGAGGTGCTGGCTGCCTGGCAGGAGGAGCTGAAAGAGGCATTCAGTGCCCAGAGTGACTTTGTAGATCTCTGCGTTTCGAGCGAGGTCGTGTCACTTCCAGCAGTTGCCTTGTGAAACATCAGCAAAATCAGACTTTTTTTGGCTTCTTTCACAGCAGGGACCAAGGCCAAAGGTGCAGTTCCCCATCTCTCTTGGCCTCTGAGCACCAAAAGCTGAATTGTGCCAGCCTCAGGTCCCTTCAGAAGCCAGTGGCAAACCAAATACATGTACTGTAAAGAAATGTGTGGATGTTTGTGCTCACAGCTGCTCTGCACCTCAGCTCTGCCTGCACTGTGCCCTCTGAAGTCAGGAGGTATTTATTTTGTATGTATTTATTCACTGTGAGCAGCTGAGGATTAATTAAACCCTTTGAACACCACAGTACTTTGAATTTGTGAGATTTATTGTGTGGGGTGGTGTCATTCCCTGTCTCATAGCTGAGTCTGCATGAACAAGGGGCAAGTGCTGCTGGAAAACCTGCACAGTGCAGCTTCAAAAGGGATGTTAAACTCCTCTCTCTGAGGAATTCATGTGGTGCTGGCAGTGAAAGGGAAGCAGATGTGGCTGTGGGGATGCTTGGCCATGCTATAAGAACAGGATAGAACAGAGCCAGGTGGGTGGGAGGTGGGAAAATTGTTCAGGATATGGGAGGAGTGAGGAGAGAATGAGGCTAAAGAGCCTCCCTGAGCTGAGTTTCTTTGTCAGGTATCAGTAGAGATGGTACAGAGAGAAATACCTTTCATTTAGGGAGGCCATAAATGAAGGGAGATAATTTCTCAGCATGAAAACCAGGGAGGTTGGATCCCAAGGGTGTGGGATGCCTTGTCCCTGGCACCCTGTGTGAACCCTGGCAGTGGTAGTTGGAGTGACTTTGTCCCTCAGCACCACAGGGACAGGTCAGTGCAACCTTCAGCTGAAGCAGAGTAACCACAGCAGCAGAGGGAAGGAGTGATCTCCAGCATTTATTGGGAGTTTGGAGTGAGACCAGCTCAGGACATGAACCAAACACACATGTACAAATCAGCAGAAGATGTGCTGTGGGGAAGGCACGTGGCTGTTGAAGCAGAAGTCAGTTCCTGCAGTGAAGTCAGTCATCAAGAAGGTCCTTCATGGCCTGTAAGTTGCAAGGAAGGTGACGATGGCCACTGCTATCACTGCCACCAGGAGAGGGATCCAGTGACCACGATGTCTCTGCAAGGAGAAGCAAGTCTTA